CTAGATCAGAATATGTAATTGCTTTTGGCTTTGAATTTTGCTTGTAGATGTAATCTACATATATAAGATGTATTCACTTTTATTGGAGTGTTTTAAGATTGATACAGAAGAATGGTATGATCTATTCCCTGATTATATTTACCAGAGATGAAATGATAGATCTGATCTAGTTAAAGTGTGTCACATCTCTTAATTTTATTCTGGTTGTCTGCATGGTCTTATACATAGGGATGAAAATAAGTGCAAGAGTAAATATTACAGTCGTTTCACATAGTGAGTTTCCTATATATGTAGGTTTCTGGTAGATTCTGGACACAGATTTTTCTACTTCAGACATCTGCATGCATAATAAATGTGAGTGAGTTTTTCCCTTGTTACTATGGATATTATGGAGTTCTAGAAGAGTAATTTAAGGGTATTATTTGTCGTAGAAAGTTTGGCTGACTTTCATGGGGATATTAAAATGTCAGGTCTAACCTGTTTATCCAGTAGATGGCACTCTCAGTCCTTAGACCCCAAAGTTCACAAACTGATGACTGTCCTCTGCATTGGTTACAGATCATAACCGAATCCATGCCACTGACGTCTTACACGCCGTTTGGTATCTTACTACACAGCCTATTCCAGGCCTTTCAACTGTGATTAGTGATCATGGTTCAGCAAGTGATTCAGGTATGTGGAAAGTATATCTGCAATTCTTTGTGAAAGGTGGGAATGGAAGAGTGTGTTTTTAAAAAAGGAAGTCAAGACAAATGATACTGGTTTAATACTTTTAAAAAATTTCTGCTACTTTCATTTTCTCTTCTCAGATTCTGACAGTGGATTTACACATGGACATATGGGATATGTATTCTCAAAAATGTATAATGTGGCAGATGATAAATACGGATGTCTGTCTGGGAATATCCCTGCCTTAGAGTTGATGGCACTGTACGTGGCTGCAGCCATGCACGATTATGATCACCCAGGAAGGACTAACGCTTTCCTGGTTGCAACTAGTGCTCCTCAGGTAAATCTTTAGACTGTGGGTAGGAGAAATAATTCAATTTAAATTTTTTTTCTGAAAAAATTTAGTTTATAAACTGGATTCATAATAGGCACCAAGTAAATATAAGTCAAATTATATTTATTCCTTAGAGATCATGCTAATTCTGAAAAGGTATCATGGTTTCTTCCAAGATATCAACAGCGGACATGCAATTTATTACCCATGGGAATCTCTTCTCAGTGTCCTTCTTGGGAAGAAAATCTACTTTAATTCATATTTTGGAACTTCCTCAACAAAGAAAAGGGAACCTATACAAAAGTTCCTTTCTGAAAAGATTAGAGAACCAAATCATTCTTGGACTTTTAAGAATGT